TTAATCAATTACAGGATAACCTCAAAGAAAATGAATAAACTTTTACATCAAAATAAAAAAGAGGAAAATCAGAAAGATTTAGTGACATTTACACAATAGAAATGAAAAGAAAACCCACAAACAAAATGAACTCAGTGCAGAAAATAATGTGGAACAAAGAACCCAGCAGCATCACAATAATACACACAGCAAAATGACAGCCATCAACTGATACCTATCAATAATTACACAGAATACAAATGGATTCAATGCACCAGTCAAGAGACAGAGAGTAGCAAAATGTATAAAATGTAAACAAAGCACTGCCAAACAATTCCTGTTAAGGCTGATAAAGCCCACTGGGTAAATTTAATATTGAATGACAAAGGTTTAAATTTTGGATCTATCCAGTCCTGAATTATTATTTTATCATGGCTTCTAAAATAATCTAATAACACGGGTCATTTTTAGAGACTAAACATGTGACGGCGATTATAAGGCTTTCTGATAAACACAGCATATCTGTATAGCTGGCTTAAGGGAAATAACTTGTCATCTTGGACTTTTTCCCTTTGATCTTAGTCCCTTTTTAAGATATTCAAATGAATGACCTTTTCAAGTTCTATGTGTGTGTTATGTGTATAGACATATTCATTAAAAAAGGTCAAAGCTTGTCTAATAACAGCACTTTCTTCCCTTCATTTCTATAATTCTTACATTGCACCCTTTGGTAAACAGGGATGAAGAGCCATAGTTAGTATGAAGGGAAAAAAATGAAGTATCTTTTGTTCTTACTTAATGCCATATTTTGTTGTTGTTGTTATGTGCCGACTCATAGTGACCCTGTACAGGGTTTCCAAGGCTGTAAATCTTTACAAGAGCAGAAAGCTTCATCTTTCTCCTGTGGAACAGTTGGTAGTTTCGAACTGCTGACCCTGAGGTTCGCAGCCCGATTCATAACCACTACGCTACCAGAGCTCCTTTAGAGTTAAGTAAAATTATGTAATTAATGGCAACTCACTAAATGACAGTGACAGTCTGACCAATGTCTATGAAGTACCCTCAGTGTCCGCAAAAAAGGGAGAGTCCAGGGAAGGAGAGGAGAGAAAGGCATTAGCCAAGATGAACACTGGATGTCTTTCAATCAACATGTCTGGTCAGAAATAATGTAACCGAGATCTTTTTTTTTTTCTTTGTTTAAGGTATTTTGTTCTTAAATTAATCATTTCAGAAGAACCAGCCTTGACATTTACATCAAGACCTCCTAGTTTCTCAAATCTATTTTATCTTTAGTACATGTAAAAATTTAAGATTGCATTTCTCTCAATGTCATGTGACTTACCTGTTTGTCAAAAACTACCCATGATGGTGCATCAGATTCTGTTCCTTTAGGATATATACTATATTTAGCCCTCGGCTTTTGCCCCAAGAGCAGCTCTCCACCTATTCCAGGTTTCTCATCGCTCACCAACATCATAACTTTGTTGCAAAAACCCCAATGCTGAGATTTGTGGAACTTCTCCTTTCCCACCTGTGAACACAAAAGATAACACAAAATGGTCAAAGTTACTCTTTATGACTTTTCTTCTTTGTTTTAAAATGTAAACACATATCCCTATCACTTATTTTTCCCACTTTAAAATAAATGTTGTTGTTAAGTACTGTTGAGTCAGTTCCAATCCATAGTGACCCTGTATACGGTTGCTAAGGAGCCATTGGTGGGCTTGAACCATCGAACTTGTGGTTAGTAGTCAAAGTGCTAAACTTTCAGCACCACAAAGATAAATAGCAAATAAATAGAAAGTGGCAAATAAATTATCATCAATCTTTATACATAAAGCTGTGTCATATTTTAAACTGAATTCATCTTAACAAATACAAAACTTTGAAAAGCAGTAAGAATAAACCCAATACATCATGCTATTTGAAACATTTAAAAATAACTATTACTGCAAGTGAACATTTAGAACATTAGCAAGCTGTGTGCCAAGAATACACACAGAAAGGAAGAAAAAAAAAAAAAAATCCTCTACTTCACAGCAAAAAATGTAACAGTTTTTCCACAGAAGTCTAAACATTATTTTCACCAAAACAGAGAATAAAATCATTTCCTCATTAAAATAAATGTAACAATAGGAAATTCCTCATATCTGACGTTCTCCTCATAACTGTAAAACCTTGCCCCCCCCTTCCTTACTCCCGTCCTGCCTTTTCTGGTGATTTGGAAAGTGTGGGAAATGTACAAAAAATAACACAAAGGGCTGTAGAGAACATAAGCCCACATCAACTCTCATGCACTGCAAGATATACACTGTAGAGTTTTTCTTGACCCGTGACTTAGCAATTCCACTTCTAAAAATCTCTTGCACCTGTGTATAGGGAGTTATGTACAAGATTATTTACATGTTACATAAATATTTGTGTTGTTGTTAGTTGTTAAGTGCAGTGGAGTCTGTTTCCATTCAAAGCGACCCTGTGTTTCCGAGGAGCAGCTAGTGGATTTGAAGAGCCAACCTTATGGTTAGCAGTCAAGCCTACAGCGCCACTCTGGAAGTCCAACAATATAGCATACACCTATATATTATATCATAAGGAGCCCTGGAAGCGAAGTGGATTATGAGCTGGGCTGCTAAACGCAAGGTCAGTAGTTCGAATCTAACAGTGTCTCTTCGGGGGAAAGATGAGGTTTTCTGCTCCTGTAAAGATTTACAGCCTCGGGAACCCTATACAGTGTCCTATGAGTTAGAACCGACTCCATGGCACACCACCACCACCATCAATATATTATATCATAGCATTGCATATTAACCAACATCCATAATGCCACATGAAAAAGAAAACATTTCAGATACAATTGAAGCACTGTGTATCCACTCTCTAACTTCACGGCCCCTGCCTCCCCCTTGAGAAGTAGTCATCATTTTGAATTTTCTGCTTATCATTTTCAGGGATGCATGAAACTTTATATGTATGGAATTATCTTTTTTCTTTCTTGCTCAACTTTTTTTGAGGGTTTTGTCCTTATTGATCCACATAATCTTAAACATCCATTTTATAAAGTGAGCATAGTTGATGTGTCTTTTCTGCTATTTGATTGTCTCTGCAAAGGGAGACAGAAACATGAACTCAGAAAGAGGGTACCCACACCAGGCCTTCAATCATATTTCAGCAGTCCAGTGCTTATCCTACAATGCCAGAGCATCCTAATTTGAGATATGAGGTTAGGAGAGATATGAGGTTATTAAGTGTTGTCGAGTCAGATGCAACTAATGGCGACCCTTTACAGGGTTTCATCCAACTCATAGCCACCCTGTGTAGGGTTTCCAAGGAGTGGCTGGTGAAATTGAACCCTGTTGTTGTTGTTGTTAAGTGTCACTGAGTCGATGCTGACTCATAGCAACCCTGTATAGGGTTTCCGAGGAGCAGCTGGTGGGTTTGAACCACTGACCACGTGGTTCGTAGTCCCATGCTGATCCACAGCGCCACACCTCGAGGCTTACAACTCTTTGGATTTTGTTTTGAGCTAGGATGTAAAGAATTGCTTTGACATTGAAGTAGCACTTTCACAGCAGTCACATGGAAACAGTCAAAATGCCCATCAACAGATGAACGGGATACAGGACATGTGCTATATGCACACAATGGCATATTACTCAGCTGTTGAAGAGAAACAAAGTTCCGCTATATGCCACAACATGGATGGACCTTGAAAACATCATGCTGAGCGAAATACGTTACCAAAGGACAAGCACTGTAATAGATCATTTGTATGAAATAAACAAGCATATAACCAAAAACAAACTCACAGTCTAGTCCATTCTGACTCATAGTCCATTCTGACTCCTTATAGGAACGAGGAGTGCTCCAGAGAGTTTCTGAGGCTGTAAGTCTTTAAGGAAGCAAACTACCACATCTTTCTCCTGAGGTTCTAACTGTCGACATTTAGGTTAGCAGTCAAGTGCTTTCACCACTGCATCACCAAGTCTCCTTACACAAATCTGTACGGTTCTTGTTGTTTTAAGTGCCGCTGAGTTGGTTCTAACACAGCAATCTTGTAAAGGGTTTCTGAGGAGTGGCTGGTGGGTTTGAACTGCTGACCTTGCGGTTAGGAGTCCAGCGCTTATCCTACAGTGCCACACGAGGACTCCAAACAAATATATTGTTGTTGTTGTTAAGTGTTGTCAAGTCGTTACCGACTCACAGTGACCCTGTATGGGCTTCCAAGGAGAGGCTGGTGAGTTCGAACCACTGACCTTGTGGTTCAAGCTGACCTTGTGATCTACTGCTTTATCCCACAGGTATGTTATACCAGGACTCCAAACAAATATAGAAATCAAAATTATTAGTGGTTACCAAGGTTGGGAGGATGCCTGGTGTGGCACTGTGGGTTAATGCGCAAGACTACAAAGTCGGTTGAACTGCAGGGTTGGCAGTTCAAGCTCATCAGCTGCTCCTTGGAAATCCTATACAGGGTCGCTATGGGTGGGAACCGACTCAACGACACTTAACAACAACAAGGGTGGGAGGGAGGGGAAAAGGGTGAATTTTCATTTCACTTAGGGGACAGTGAGTTTATGCTAATATTGATGAAATGATTTCGTGAAGAACAGCAAGCATGGTTGCACAAGTTGACGAATGTAATCAATGTCACTGAATTATACATGTAGAAATTGCTGAGTTGGCATTTGTTTTGCTGTGTCTACTTTTACTATTAAAAAAACAGAAGATAAAGAATCACTCTGGCAGTGATACAAAGAACTGGGTAAACTGCAAGTCATCCAGGCAAGAAATGTGATGACAGTCTTAATTGGGGGGCAAGGGGGTGGGGGGACAGGAAGATGGTGCTAGTGATCAGATTCTGTATATGTTTCAAAGGTGAAACAAAAAGGACTTACTGATAGATGAGATGTGGATATGCAGGGTTTGAAAAAAGAGACACATTGTAATGACTCTAAATATTTTGGCCTAAGCAACTGGACAGATGGAGCTGCCGTGTACTGAAGTAGAGAACATTGGGAGAGAAACTGTATGAGGGTTTTGAGAGTAAGAGGCAGGCACAGAAATCCAGAATTCTATTTTAGACATGTTAAGTTTCAGATACCAACCAGACACACTGGTAGAGATGTTGAATAAGGTATATATATATGAATCTGAAGTTTAAGGGAAAGGTTAGGGCCAGATATAAAAATGTGAGATATCCAAATGTATATATCTCACATAGACAAATAGTAGTTAAAATTATAATGTTGGATTGAATTGACAATAGTACAGAAAAGAAATCCAAAACCGAGCCCTAAGAAATCCCAATGTTAGTTCAGGGAAATGGGGTAGAACTAGCAAAGGAGATTGAAAAGAAGTAGCTGGTAACACAGGAAGAAAACATATCACGGAAGCTATGTTATATGTATGCAAAAGCTGGACAGTAAATAAGGAAAATCGTAGAAGAATTGATGCCTTTGAGTTATGGTGTTGGAGGAGAATATTGAAAGTGCCATGGGCTGCCAAAAGAACCAACAGATCTGTGTTGGAAGAAGTGCAGCCAGAGTGCTCCTTGGAGGCCAGGATGGCCAAACTTCAACTCTCATACTTCGGACATATTGTCAGGAGGGAACAGTCGCTGGAGAAGGATATCATGTTTGGTAAGGTGGAGGGTCAGAGAAAAAGAGGAAGACCCCCCCAACGATATGGAGGACTCAAGCATGGCAACAGTAGTGAGGTTGGCCCAGGTTGGCCAGGTCGCTATGGGTCGGTACCGACTCGATGGCACCTAACAACAACATGTCAAGAAAGCTTCTGAAGAAAAGGGATATCAGTGTCTCAAATGAGATAAGGTTTGAGACCTGACCCCTGAATTGGCAACATGATTTCCCAAAGTCATAGGGATCTAAATATGTGGTGAAACTATACAGTTCTTTGATATCTCTGTGTAAGGTACTTAAAATCAAAACTCACATTTTGACTATTTACTTGTATATATTGCCTGGTTTAGTCACCCTTAAGTCCACTGATTAAACAATGGGACCCTGGGAAATCCAGAAAAGAACCAGGGAGTATGGTATAAATGTGACATCATAAAGAATAGAGCAGGAAATCTGGCATCAGCAACCTGACATTCACATCCCAGCTTTGTCACTTCTGGCCCATGTGACTCTAGGCCATTTCTAAAGGCCTCTGGCTTTGCCATCTCTAAAGTGAGAAGAATAATATCTGCCTCATGGGACAGTGGTTAGGACTAAGTGAGAGAATATCTGTGACTGTGCCTGCCTGTTAACATTTATGAACTTCTCAAGGGGAAGCATTTGATATTGACTTTTAGAGAGAGCTGTGTTAGATAGCGCTCCAGTAAAAAAAAAAAAAAAAGGAGCAAGTATTATTCCCTTAGTAACCAGTCTGAGAGCTAAAACTTTCTCTTCCGCAGGTAGACTGCATAGAACATTTTTATAATTAATATATAATGAATATTTTATAGGAGTTAGAACTTAATTTTCTATATCTGATCAAATATTTTTATAGAGTTATATCCACTATTAG